ATGAGGAAAGTGAGATTTGCCCTGCCTAATTAAAAATGCTCTTCTCAGGGGGGGGAAAAAAGATGTCCCAAAAATCTTACTGCAGCAATAAGACTTTTGGTACACCTTGTATACTTGTGAACCATTATTATTATCATCATTCCAAAAGGCCCTGATAGAAGGGGAAGGAATAGCATAAGCCAAAGTATACTGGAGAAAAAGGGAGAAGGGCAATTTGGCTGCAGCATAGCATACGCAGAGGGATATAGTCAAAGTTAAACTTGGAAAAATAATAATAGATTTAGAATTGGCAGGGACATTCATATCACATAGGATCCCAAACTGTGAGCTGGAAGAGACTTTAGAAGTCATCTAGTCCAACCAGCTCATTTTACAGATGAGAAAATTAAGGCCCAGAGATGTGAAATGACTTGCCCAAGGTCACACAGAGGCAGGATTTGGACCCATATCCTCGGCCTCAAAATACAGTCCTCTTCCCTCGACATTACATTGCCTCCCAAAGTCCCCCTTAGACAGTCCCATCTCCTTGTTTCACTGCTTACATACATTCTACCTTTCCAATTATAATCTTATGTCTCTAAAATGAGATCAAAAGTGTAGAGGGACTCCAGTACAAGCTACTGAAGGCTTGTTTGCAGGGGGGTAACACAGTGAGAGATAATACAGGGAAAGAAGCAAATGGCAAGAGTAGAAGATAAGACTTTTTTCCGCAAAAAACCTAACAAGCGTCATTCCCTAAAATCAGTCTTATCAGGGAGCCAAAAAGGTGCTCCTAGCAAATACAAAAAGGCAGAGATTTTACGCATTCTCTGATTACCAGCCAGTACAATAAGAAATCAAAACCAGACAGAATTCAAAGGCACCCAACCAGACGGACACTCCAAATAATCACTTAAAGAACTGCCAGGTTCAAAAAGGAAACCTGGATGTCGAAAAGCAAACAGGGGCACAGCCGACTGAAGTATGAGGGAGGGGCTTCCTAAGCAGCACTCTGGGAGGACTAGGCACTCATTGCTGTAACTACTTCTATTAGTAAGAAATAAAAAGTAAATAGAGCCAAGTCCGACTCTACCCACAAAACCTCAAAGACAAGCAAAAGAAGAAGTAAACAACAAATAACAGAAATAAGTGCAAAAAGGGAGTGGTAAACAAAACCAACCATTGGTCCTTTGAAAAAGTGAACAAAATTACCCATCTGTTAGCATAACTATTAGAGAGGAAGAAGGAAAAAAGCAAATTGATGAAATCATGAACTCATGAACCCATGAAGGGAGCTATCACAATATAAGAAAATAAAGGTTATATAATAAATATAAAGGGTCTTTTGGGGGCAGACTACAGTAACTTGACCATACAGTAAGATTTTGAGAATCAAGGACAAAATAATTAATATTTATCAATTGTCAACATATTAAAGAAACAGAGAATAGGAATAAATGAATAATAGAAGAAATGGATTTTTGGCAAATTTTTCTAAACTTTTCAAGAGCAAAAATGTTTTAAATGGTCTGAAGGGGTTTTTTTTCTTAACTTACTAAAAAGTATATAGTTAAAACGGGTGCTAACATTATATTTGACAGACTACTGGAGTCATTCTTGAAAAGAGAAGACAAGGATGTGCCCTTTCATCTTTGACCTAATTGCTAGTTAAAGCAATTAAATAATAGTAGGTCCTTAAAAAAATGCTTGTTGTTTGAAAAGAAGAAATATATAAGTAAGTATATCAACTTGAAGGAAATCAACCCCCAATTTGCTATTGATCTCAAATATGCTCAACAACATTGTAGGTTATATAAATCCACAAAAACACCTGCACTCATAAAAACGGATTCTATGCAGAATATCACCAAGAAACAAATCATTTGGGTATTAGCTTAGCTTGGAACCAAGAGATTTGTTCTCCTAAAAAAGGAAATAAAGGACATGAATCAGTGAAAAGAATGTCCTTTGCTCCTGGTAAAGCTTAAAATATTACTGACATTAACATATAAATTTAATAAAATACTGATCAAAGTTCCCGGGGGATGTTTTGTGAAAATTGACAAATTGATGGTAACATGTAACTGGAAGAATAAACAGACAAGAATACCAAAGAAAAACTTAATGAAAAGAATTAACAAAGGTACTCATCCTACCAGATTTTAAAATATATTATCAATGGGCAATTAGCAAAACCATATGATCACTGTGTTTGACAGAAAAAAATTATTAATTCCATAGAAGAGATTCCAGAAAAAGAATCAAACTATTATTTCATGATGAATTGGACATCAGAAATGGAGAAGAATTAACTTGTATCCATGACCCACACTGCAAAAAAATCCAAATGGTTCAGACAGTTTAAATTTTTAAATCTTATAAAACAGAAGCATAACATTTCTCCCAGGTATAGAGGAAAGATTTACTTCTGAATATTAAAGAGTTGGGGGGCTTTCAGAGATAAGATAGATGTCCACATATATAAAATTAAAATCCTGCACAACTTAATTTACCAAAATACATATCAAAAGAAAAATCAATAAAACAGAAAAAAAATTTTGAAAAACAACTGATAAAACTTTATCTAATGAGATAATGCATGGGAAAGTGCTTTGTCAAACACAAATCACCATATAAATGTAAACTATGAGAAGAGATTTCGTATCTAAAACACATCGAAAATTGACACAAATATATATAGTCATCACCTAGATTCCATTCAATTTATGATATAAATAAAGTTTACACCAGAGGAAATAGACACAATAAATCATTGAATTAAAGCACTTCTGAAATGAAGAGGCCCTTAGACAAAGGTGCAGTCTGGCCCACTCTGAAGCCCAGAGAAGGAAAGGGACTGGGCCAAATTATATAGCTTGTTAGTGGCAGAGGCAGGTGTAGACACCACCTCTCCTGACCTGTAATCCATCAAAAACAACAGCTTCACAATTAAACACATAAATGCACCTTGAAGCAACTATAAAGTGCCACTCATAAACTTCTGAAACTAGCCAATGAATGAATAAAACAATGAAAGGCCAGGGAAGCAAATATTGGGGTGCTGTCCTGATTCTGCGGAGAAAAACACACAGAAAGAAAAGGAATTTGCTCCCCAATTTGCAAAGTACCACTATAGCAGAGAAATTGCCCGCAAGATAATTAGTCAACAACACAGCATATTCAAGCAAATTACAGCATATTAAGGCAACGATTATTTTTAAATGACACACAGGAGGATCATATTAATACATACAAGTATACACATGAAAAACATTAAGTGACAAAAAGCACATAAAACAGTACCTGTAAAGTGATTATGTGATCTAAATGTGTAACAGAAAAAATAAGCCCAGAGAATTAGGAGGGACCTTCAAGGTCATCTAGTCCAACCTCTTTCTTTTTTAAATGAGGAATCTGATGCCCCCAAAGGGGAAATGACTTGCCCAAGGTCATACAAGTAGTAAGTAGCAGAGCCATTATTCAAACCTAGATCCTCTACTTCAGAAGGGAACCTAGGTGGACCCAAATGGGGCTTAAAGTTCATCAGGCTATTTTTGTTTTACAAAGATGATTAGGTTCATAATATTTTTAAATGCACTGAAACAAAACATCTTTAGAGTTTCTTGAGGGTCCATTACCCTACAACTCATATTTATGCTACAAGTAGAATCGAAAGCAAACATAATCCACCATTTCTAGGCAATACACTGCTATCAGCATAGCCATCCACAAGCCACCACATTAGAAGCTAGCTCTGAAGAAAAGGGCAGTAGGATGATTCCCTAATTTCAAAATCTAAGTCACCAGTATAGCAAATGAATAGCTAAGGCCAGAAGGTTGCTTCCCCTGGGTTGGGCCATCGAATCAGACATTAAAAGTTCAAAGGGACCTTAGAGGCTGGAGTTCAATTCTTCCCCTCCCCCCACTCCATCATCTTTCTGATGAGGAAACTGAGGTCAAGAGGTTAAGTGACTTGTCCACAGTCATACAACTAATAAAGAGATAAGCTGAGATTTGAACCCAGGTCCTCTTGACTCTAAGTCTAGTGCCCTATCTGTTAGCAGAGTGTCTAACTCGTGGCCCTCAAAACCAAATTGAAATGTAACTGGAAATATTTAAAGAAATAAATAAAAAATAAAATACAGCATACTGTCAGTTTGTGGTTTTCTAAGTCAATACACAGCCTGCAGATTCAGAAACGTGTTGGTCCATTCAGGAGTGACTGGATCTATTCAGTTGATTCAAGCTAACTAAATTGATAAGGGCAAATTTTATAATCCAGGACATGTTTATTAAATTGCAATAATAAATAAAATTGCCAAGTTGACAAGAGGTACATTTTTTTTTCACCAGGAGGAAAATCTGCATAGAGAAACTGATTTAAGATCACCACCCTTCTGTTTGCATTTGTTGTTACTCTTTTTCATCTCAACAGACTCTTATAATAGGTTACTTAGGATTCCCAAGTATACAGACTTTTCATTTATATTTTAGATTGGCTGCATATTGATAACATGGGAAGATATCTGAGTTTCTTCAGTAAATGCTATCCAATTTACACTGTGCGATGGCTAGATTACTGTGGAGAAGCTTTCCTGTAGAGAACTAATCTTCTCCATTCTGTGAGAATCATCGTTAGTCTCAATCATAGGGGACGGATGGCCTTTCCCCAATGTGAAGGCCTGGGTTTCTTCTTAAACTGTTGGTATATCCAATGTCTGCACCACGCATAGGTCTCTCAATGGGATAATTAAGTGCCATTGCCAAGTCAGGTTCTTAAGCAGTAGAGTCACATGATGAAATCTTCTCTGCAGATTAATCCGAAAGCTGGGAGCAAATGGATTACAGGAAAGAGACACTGGAAATAGATCACCAGAGGGGAAGTAATCGAGAGCCTGGCGTACAGTAGCAGGACTAGAAGAAATGAACTGAACAAACATTGAAGAATATTTACCATTACATTGTCACTGGGGTATTCTCTATACACTAGGTAACAGAAAAATGTGGCATGTGCTTTTCAAAAGCTTAAAAAGTATTTCATGGAGATTGGCTCAATTGTAGCTGTAGTGAAGAAAGTGCTTCATAAACTGTAAAGTGCTATGTGAATGAGAATTATTGTCATTTTACTTGTGAGTATGCAAGCCATGACAATGCTACAAAGACTCATTGCAGTTTTTCATATACTTATCCAAAATTTCTGCTTTGTATTTTCTAATATGATTGAGACCTACATTCTGACTCAAGAGTTTTTCACATTCATTACATTCACAAAATTTCACTCCACCATGAATTTTCTGATGATGTATATACACTGACATATATATATATATACATATATATATGTATATGTATATCAGTATACGCACTAACATATATACTAATAGTCCATAAGACTGTAGTAAAAATAATAGTTAACCAAAATTCATTAGGTTTTTCTTACACATGAATTCCCCAATACTGACTAGGCCCCGATCTTTTCCAAAAGGCTTTCCTATATTCATCACATCAACAGGGGTTTGCTTTACTATTAACTAATGTTTAACAAAATCCAAGTGTTTTCTGAAGGTCTTTCCAAACTCATTACTTTCACAGGATTTCTAACTACTGTGAGTTTTTTGATGTCTGTAAAGGGCTGAACTCTTCCTAAAGGCTTTCCCACACTCATCACATCCATGGAGTGATGCTCCACTATGAATTCTTCGATGTCGATTAAGACCTGAACTCCTCCTGAAGGTTTTCCCACATTCATTACATTCATAAGGTTTTGCTCCACTATGAATTCGCCTATGTTTAATAAGGTCTGAAGGTCCCCTGAAGGTTTTCCCACATTCGATACATTCATAAGGTTTCTCTCCAGTATGAATTCTCTGATGCTCCAAAAGGCTTGAGCTCTGCCTGAAAGGCTTCCCACATTCCTTACATTCATAGGGTTTTTCTCCTGTATGAATTCGCCGATGTTTGGTAAGCTCTGAACTCCTTCTGAATGCCTTTCCACACTGAATACATTCAAATGGTTTTGCTCCACTATGAATTCTCTGATGTTCAAGAAGGCCAGATTGCCCCCGAAAGGCTTTACCACATTCACTACACTTATAGGGTTTTTCTCCAGTATGAATTCTCTGATGCTTAATAAGGTCTGAATGTTCCCTGAAGCCCTTTCTACAGTCATTACATTCAAAAGGCTTCTCACCACTGTGAATTCTCTGATGCCGAATAAGGTGTGTGCTAACCTTGAAGGCTCTCCCACATTCATTACATTCGTAGGGCTTCTCTCCACTGTGAACTTTCTGATGTTGACTAAGGCCTGTACTCCTCTTAAAGGACTTCCCACATTCATTACATCGATAGGGCTTTACTATGCTATGAATTCGCCTATGTCTACTAAGTCCTGAGCTCCTCCTGAAGGCTTTCCCACACTCCTTACATTTATAGGGTTTTGCTCCACTGTGAATTCTCTCATGTTCAATAAGCTCTGAGTGTCCCTTGAAGCCTTTCCCACATTCCTCGCATTCATGGGGCTTCTCACCACTATGTATTCGCTCGTGCTGAATAAGTTCTATGTTAAGTCTGAAGGCTTTCCCACATTCCTCACATTCATGGGGCTTCTCTACCCTTTGCTCCTGTCTCTGGTGTTGTTTTGGAAAGTCTGAATTATTTGTGAGGCTGCCACATGAATCAGGTGGCTGGGCCCTATCTCCTACAGGGTTTCCCTGCTGCCACTCTAACCTACCCTCAACATCACAGTGGCCTCCAACTACAGAGTCCTGGTGAATCCCCTTTGGGGAGCCTGCTGATAATATTCCCTGGGTTTTCACTTCTTCACCAACTTCCTGCTGTGGAATAGATGCCTCTTTCTCAGTCACAGAGCTCTTAGCTGAAATGATAAATAGAAAATACCCAGATCAATAGAGTGTGAGAATCATTCCATAAATGAGTGCCTACTGGAGGCAGGTGTCTTTGAAAGGTAGCAGATGAGAAGTGGGTGAGGAGATGAAGACATAAGAGGAACAGCTGGCACAAATGGCAAAGAAAGCAGAGAAAAGAGGTGGCTCCATCAAAGAAGGCGGGCATTATAACAACAGGAGAAGATGGGAGAATGAGAAGTAACAGAGGGAGCAGTGAAAGAGAACGGGTAGGCTCAGAGCTATGGTCAAGAAGAGAGGAGTGGTCAGGGAAGGTGAGAATGAGTGCTAGTAGAGGCACAAAGAAGTGGAGCATTTGGGATGAAATGGGCTCCAAGAGTGCCAGCACTGCTGGCCCCAGGATTACTGGATCCCCTTTACAGGATGCCACAAAGCAGAGGGTGACAAAGCAATAGCTCTGCCCTCCTGGATGCCACACCCTGGGTATTGCAACCTCTGTTTATCTCTTCTAGAACCCTTCTTCCACTTGGGTAAAAGAGATCTAGCATTAGCAAGACCATCAGCCAGACAAGGACAAATAACCTTTATTATAATGGGATGACTTCAAGGATTTTTTTTACAACTAAGAAATATGAGCTTTAGTCCAATATAATTTAGTATTAACTGTCTTGCTTGCTTCTAGCTTCCAGCTCTTAGAACAATGCCTGGCATATAGGAAGCTCTCCTGATCTATCTATTTATCTAGTTACCACAGGTGGAATAGCCTTAGGTTCTTTCCTAATGCATAAATGACTTTTACAAAAAATGTCTTTCCTAATGAGACAATATTTAACCCAAGTTTCTTTTTTACAAGTCTGATCTGTAAGCTTGGACATTTACACCCAAGCCCAGACAAGCTCCATCTATCCTAGCATCAACTGTATATTCCCCAAACACTCCAAAATTGGGGGAAAGAGGTAGTCTTTTTCTCTGATGGAATGAAAGGTATGGGATAGCAATCACTGGGGTCTAAGGAAGAGATGACCAGGAGAAGAAATGGAAAGGAAGGCACCGTTAAGCATAATGACACCTTTCACTTGGACAGATCAAAGCAGCATCAAGGAGACCACGCTGATGCATAAATCAAACAACTGGCCCCACCCCATTGAACAACTAGGCTGCTGTGTATTCACTCACCACCATGGGTCTCTGGAACCTCAGTTCTGGGCACATCTGGCAAGCATGGTACTTCCCCTCGCTCCAGCTGGGAGATCAGGTCAGGTTTGGAAACAGGAAATCCTGCTTGTGGGAAAGGAAGCCACATGTGGCCATTTGGTCTTAGGATCGACCCAGAGCTGCCCCAGAGCTCCGTCCCAGCCAGATTGTGTCCAGGGATTTTACAGAGAGAAGACTAGGAGGGTCTAGATGAAGAATACCTACCCAGAGCAAGGTTTACCATAAGAATCCTCTCTGCTACTACAATCTAAAGTTAACTGGGCTTGGGATAACCATCTCACCTGAGATTTCATGGGCTTAGGAAACTCGAGGTTCTACCAATGAAGATCAGCACTTGGTCTGAAACTGAAGTGACTTACCTGGGCCACTGAAAAGTTAAGTAACTTGCCCAGCATCATAGAGCCCCAGCAAGGGTCAGAGGAAGAACCTGAACCCAGGGCTTCCTAACTCCAAGGCCGTGCTCTATCCATTACGCCACACTACCTCTTCACCATCCCACAAAATTAATTGAATTTTAAAATGTTAACAAAATGTTTCAAAGACTCCACAGTAGAAGAAACAGAGTACTTTAAATTAAGAGATCCAGGTTCCAATTAGTTGCAGAAGCTCAGGCAAATAACTTACCCTTTTGGAGCCTCCATCTCCTCTGTGAAATGAGAGGCTTAAATGAGATAAGGTCTATAGGCCCTTCCAGCACAATGATTTGAAAATCCTCTCTGTTCTCTGACTCTAAATGGTAGCAGTTCAGAGACACCTGGACCACCACCACCACCACCACCACACACAAGCAGAAAAAGACTAAAGGCTACGAAGGAAGTCAATGATAATGATGATCAAGGAGAAGTGACAGTGTGTCCTTCATGCAAAGACACTAAAAAGATAATTTTTCTTTGGTCTGAAGAGCAAACCCAATAGGGGATGTTATCAGAGTGAAAAGGGGGATACTCTACCTTAAATTTAAAAGAGAGGAGCAAGTGTTAAGACAAAAGGAAGTCCTACTTTACACATAGAAGAATATAGGAAGAATTCAATTCAAGTTTGTGGACTTTCAAAAAGCATTCAGTGTAATAGTGTTGGATGTAAAGCAGTCCTTACTTCCTTTAGTTTGGCCTCAAATGACCTAGCTCTTTGACCACTCAAGGGGCAGGCATAATTCAAGAAACCTGATAATGACGTATGCTACCCACCTCTCAACAGGGCAGTTGACCCAGGGCAGAGAATGAGGCCTAAGGTTTTGGACACCGCCAATTAGATAATTTGTTTCATTTGACTCTGCTCATTTGTTACAAGAGCTTTGTTTTTCTTTTTTCCAGTGGGGAGGTGGGTAAGAGGGAGAAAAATGATTAATAAGTGAAAAAAATTTTAATAACTAACAAGAAAGGGAGTAGAGCCTCATTCTAGCCTTCATTCCTATCTCTCATGGTTTATAATCTTCAGTCACATCCTATCCCTGCCTACTACCTTTTATCTCCAAGTCACTTCTCATGTGGAAACTGCCACATCCCTTGAATCTTCTCCAGGTTTTCCGTGTCTTTCTGTAGGTGTGGTGACCAAACTCTATTTAGCATCTCATGTACCCAACCAATGTGAGAGGCCACAGAAACAAGATAATACTGACCTGCCTCTGAAACAAAAGTGAAACAAACTTGCCATTTCATCCTCAAAATTATTTATGAAGTCTAAAAAAACAGTCTATAATTAATATTTTTAGCTAAGGAGATTTAGGACTATCCCTAGCCTTCAGTAGTCCATATCACGGAGAAAAACTATTATACATTCCTGCCCATTGACCCCTGGTGCCTCTGGTTGCCAAAGGCAGAATCCTGGACTCGAAGGGTTATTGGTACCACTTTTCCCAGATATTTATACACACAGCTGTTAACAAAAAGGGAAACCAAAGAAGAGATTGTGCCTCCAGTGGTGAGGCTGGAGGGGGTCCTTACCCAGTGAAATGACATTCTCATAATTCTCCAGCATCACGTCCCTGTAGAGCTTCCTTTGAGCAGGGCCCAGTTGTCCCCATTCCTCTTTTGTGAGATACACGGCCACATCCTCAAATGTCACCAACTCCTAAAAGAAAAGGTTCCTGCTGCCCCCATGGATAATCCCACCAGCCTGACCCAGGACTAGGGGCAAAGTGAGCAGCCCCAGAAAGGTTAGGACAAGGTGGCTAAGGGTTTGGAGTGTGTGTGTGTGTGTGTGTGTGTGTGTGTGCGCGCGCGCGCGCACACTTGCACGCTGGGGAGGGGGAGTTGGGTAGAGGGAGTAGAAATACAGGGACAAGTAAACCTAAGTTACACCTGACTAGGAGTCACAAAGCCAAATTTTCTAAGATTCTGAAACACAGTTTTCCAATTCACGAAGCGACAGTAACAATAGCTATGTCCTCTACTCCAAGAGAGGGAACCAGGGCTCAGGTCACTGGATTCAACACCACAGTAAGAGATGCTGCGTGAAGGAGCCATGAGCAATCCTCAGGTAACAGCAATATTCTCACATCTTGAGAAAGGAAGAGAGAAGCACAGCTCACCTGGGGCCTGGCTGTCGGAAGAGCTGCCATCAGTTCCGCTCCTGTGCTCCCCTTTCGGGAAAGTGTTAGACTCTGGGGAACAGGCAAAGCTAAGAAAAGTGAATAAAGCCATGAGTAAGACCCAACCCGGCCCTGTGGGTCTCCCACCAATGAGATATAGAATCCTTTTGCGCTCTTTGATGGAAATACTTTAAACCACTGTTCAAAAGCCTTGTTGAATTTTAGCTTTAAATGTAGTTGTTTATTGATGGAGCCAAGACACAAGGCAACATGGAACTCCCTTAAACAACTGAAGAGGTGGGCCAGAAAACAAAAGAAAGACCAGAGAGATGGAGAGAGGGAAGGGAAGGGAAGAGAAGGAAAGAAGAAAGTGAGAGGAGGGTGAAAAGGAGAGGAAGAGGGAGGGTGAAAGGGGAAGAGAGAGGGAGAGGGAGAAAAGAGAAGAGAAGAGAGGAGAGAAGCAAAAAAGAGAAAGATTCCTCCAAAGACTGTATTATTAGTAATTATTATAAGAAAGAAACCAAAAACAAATGAGAAAAGGAAAAAATGGCTGAAACAAGAAGTTCTGAAAGGCCCAAACTACTGAGAGGCAAGATTTAAAAGAATCAAATGTTTAAATTACACAGTTAAGAAATGAAACAAGAAAGACCTTAAAAGCAACAATGAATAAACCTGAAATCATATCAGCCAAATCAATCAATAAATAAGTATTGATTAAGTGCCTAATTCTGTGCCAGAAACTATGCAAGGCACCAGGATTTAAAGAAAAAAATGAAACAGTCCCTGTCCTCAAGGAGCTTACATTCTCTCAAGGGACAATATGAATTTCTATAAGTAGATACAAAATATATACGAAGTAGAAACGAGGTGTTGGGGCGGGGGGAACAGGAAAGGCTTCATGGAGAAGGAGCCCTCAAAGGGAGTTAGAGGCTCTGAGGTGAAGGCAAAGAGAAAAAAGATGGAACATCCTGAATGGGAAACAGCAAACAGGCAAGTTTGGCTAGAATGTAGACTGTCTGAAGACACATAATATGTAATGAGTCTGGAGTGAAATTGTGAAGAGCTTTAAATGTCAAATGAAGGAGTTTATATTTGATCCAAACAATAATAGGGAATCACTGGAGCTTCTTGAAGGGAATGACATGGTCAGATGTGTGTTGTAGCATTATCATTCTGGCACATCTTGGAAAGATGGAATAGAGAGGCAAGAGCCAGGTCTCCCAGACCAATTAGGAGGCCACTGCAGTAGTCCAGGTGAGAGGTGATGAGGCCCCAAACTACAGTGGTGGCTGTGGAAGTGCAGAAAAAGGGATGGATGGAAGAGATGTTATGAAGGTAGGATCCACAAGAAGTGACAACTGATCACAAATGGAGGGAAGGGAGACTGAGGTCTAGAATGAGCCCCAGGTTGTGAGGCTGGGTGACAGGAAGAATGGCAGTACACTCAACAAAAATAGGAAAGTTCTGTAGATAGGTGGGTTTGGGGGGAAAGATAATGAGTTCTCCCAGGAGAATAAATTATACAATAACAACATTATAAAGAAAAACAATTTTGAAAGATTTGAGGATTCTGATTAATGCAATGATAAACCAAAGAACTGACAATGAAACATGTTACCCACTTCTAACAGAGAAGTGATGGCCTCAGAGCACAGCATAAGACATACATTTCCAGACATGGCTAATATGGGAATTTGTTTTGTTTGACAAGGGCTTTGTTTTTCTTTTCTTTTTCTAATGGGAGGATAAAAACGGGAGAACAAAATAAAGAAAAAGAAAAGAGGGTTACGGAGGTATCTTTTTTAAAAATATGCAGGAAAAAAAATAGAAGGAAGGCCAGAAAGAAGTAAAAATGTGCAGGATAGCTTAACAGCCACAGGCTGACTTTATTTTAACTTCAAAAGAAAAGTGGGCTCTCTGCACTTTCATGTAAGCCTTTTCTTCCTATTCTATTATACCCATTTTATTTGCTGTTTTTAAAGTTTGGGATAAAAATAAATACTCTTTAAAAAATTTAGCTAAAATCCCGTCCTCTTCAGGAGGCCTTTACTGTTTGCCCAATGCTTAGCACAGTGCCTGGTGCATAGGAGGCACTCCATAAATGTTTATTGACTGGCTAATGAGGGAGACAACATGTAAATAGATATGTGCAAGAAGGAAGGTAGGAAGGAAGGAAGGAAGGAAGGAAGGAAGGAAGGAAGGAAGGAAGGAAGGAAGGAAGGAAGGAAGGAAGGAAGGAAGAGGAGAAAGAGGAGGAAGAGGAGGAAGAGGAGGAAGAGGAGGAAGAGGGGGAGGGGAGGAAGGAAGGAAGATGAGTTCTGTTTTAGACATGTTGAGTTCGATATGCCTATAGGACATCCAACAATTGGTAATGCAAACAAAACTGGAGCTCAGGAGAGAGCAGATGGAGATAACAGCAAAGTAGCTTATGAAAGTACAAGACAAGAAAGAGGAAGAAATCAGGAAAAAAATGTCTTTAACCTAAGCAATTAGCAATGAAAAACCCTATAGCAATCGAAAACCCCTAGAACTTAGAAAATCTGCCAAGGAGAAGTTTCTTCCAATTCACAGAAATACCAGACATGCAAGAAAGCCCCAAAGGAAATGATCACAAATATTCTGTAAAATGAGCAGGTGAGTGAAGAAATGATAAATGGAAGCACAGCCCAAATGAAGCACTAGCCAAACAAAATAGGGCAAAAATCTTTTGGGAAAAAGAAAAGATCTTTAAAAACACACATCCTGTGTAACCAATATAGTCCCAGACCTCCCAACAACCACACTGGTAACTCGGTCACAGACTCCATGGTTCAATTAAATCATAAAAACAAGCTTAATAAAGGGTGAACAAGTTTTCTTTTACACTGTACAATCTACAGCTATGTCAAGCTTCAGTTTGCCGAGTGTGGTCAAGTCTTCGGCTGCACTCACACGAACATACCTAGCCACCAATCTGTAACTTCAGAGATGAGTCTTCGAAAGGTGCTTGAGGCTTACAAACAGCATTCAGTCCCCAGTAATTCCTGACTCTGAGGCCCACTTTCTACCCAACAACACAGCAACAAAAGACTTTCGATTCACAGTAGCATTTGTAATAAACATATAAAAGGGAAGGGGGAATGGAAGCTTTGAGTAGACTAATGCCACAGCAGTTGGATGCATATTCGGTTCATAGGAAGAAGAAAAAGTGAGTCAAATCTGAAGATATGATGCTTGTTTGCCCCCTACTAAAGTACTTCTCTGATATTGCATCATGGCTTAGAGATGATCCTGAAGTCTTGAGGTTACACCAGCAGAGGCCAAGCTCTGACAAGTCTAACCAACCTGGAGAAGCTCTAGTAAAGGGCCCACCTCATCGAGGCCAACAAATATATCTGTCATTTCCTCAATGACCAACCAGTCTAGCTAAATTCAGACAGGCTCACCATCAGAAGGCTGGTCATGAGGTGAAGGATAGTAAGATCCATGGAGCAAGCTTCCACACCCCTAAATTATTATGGTATAGTTTATTTACAAATGAAATATATTTTATTGATAGTATGCAGAAAGAGGCTTGAGAACAGTAAGATGCTATATAGATTGTTCGTATAATGAAAGCATTGTTAATAATTCAATTCAATAAAGATATATTAAGGGTCTACTATGTGCAAGGCTAGAAGCAGCATGGTATGACAGAGTGCCATGGCGACACAGAGCCAGCATAAATCAGGAAGATCTGGGTAAAGTCATCCTCTGACACTTACTAGCATTGTGACCTTGGGCAGATCACTTGACCTCTTAGGACCCCTAGGCAATTCTCTAAAACTCAAAGTATAGATAATTTGCTAATCTATGTGGTAGAGGGATTTTTCCCAGCAAGAGCTCCCTCACATATGTGAAATCACAGGTCTTGACCTCCAAAATGTCTGAGTTGCTGTGAGCGCAACCAAGACAAAAATGAAAGTCTCTGCCCTTAAGGAGTGAATATTATACTGCGGAGATACAATATTGACAAAGATAAGTAAACTTAAAGTAATTATAGGAAAGAGAGTGTTCTAACAACTGAGGGGCTCAGGAAAAGCCCAGAACACAGAAGCTGAAGCTTCCAAAAGGCTAAGGCAAGGAGAGAGCACATTCATTCTACGTGGGGAAGACAGCCTTGGTGAGGGCATGGAGGGAGGCTATGACTCCACCCAGCAGGGTCAAGAAATAGCATAGTCCACTTTAGGTAGAAAGTAGTATATGAAGTGGAATAATGTGAACTGTTGGGAAAGGTAGGTGGGAGGCAGACTGGGAGGGGCTTTCTGTGCCTGACAGAAGTGCTCATATTTTATCCTACAGGATGGAGAAGGGGCCTGTCACCCAGAAGAGGGGGGATCAGATCCCCTCTCTGACCCCTACTGGCTGTGTATATGACCTTGGGCTAGTCACAACTCCTATATGCCCCAAGCAACTCTCTAAGACTCTACAATGCAGAGCACATACAGAGGGAATTCTTCGCCTAGAGTTCCCTACACCAATGAAATCAGAGGGAAAATACACACACACACACACACACACACACACACACACACACACACACACAGAGGCATACACCGAAGATTCTTAAGCAGAGAAGTGACATGATCAGACCTATGGATTAATTATGAATAGCAATTTGAGAGCTGTATGAAGAATGGACTTGAGACAAGAGAGTCCAAAGTATGGAGACCAATTAGGAAGCTGCTGAAATAGTCCAGGCAAGAGGTCATGAGGGCCTAAACTAGGTGATGGAGGCAAGAGATGTTGGGGAGGTAGACTCAAAAGACAACATTTGGCAAATAATTAAATGGAGATGGAAAGTGAGAGAGGGGAAGAATAAAGGATGATTCTGAGCTTATTGAGCTGGGTGACTGGGAGGATGCTGGTACCCTCAACAGAAACTGTTAAAAATAAAATAGGTTTGGTATGGAAAGAGGAGAGACAAGGAAGCAAAAGTGAAAACAAGTTCGTTTCATTAATTGTAAAAGAACTTCATGATACAATGAAATGTAAAAGGTCTGGAGAGTGGATTAAAAAAACTTAATATATGCTATACACAGGAAGCTGCATAAAAAAATATTCATATGGATTAATCCCAATCAATCAACAAATATTTATTGAGGGAGGCCTACTATGATCAAAGCACTAGCTAGACTCAGGGGCTTACAGCATACTTCAGGAGACAAAGTATAAACTCACCAAAAATTAAATACCAATGTAAAAGTTCAGTGACAATTAAAGCAATAAAGGACAAGTCACAAAGCACTGCATGATTAAATGCCCAACGATTGAGACAATGATTACCAAGAGTCCACAAGTAGCTGGGTGCTGCCTGCAAAGGAAGATTCACAAGCTGGGCTTTGAAGAATGAGTGGGAGTTGGCTAGGCATGCCAAGAGCAAAGACATGTCAAGATCAAAGGCATGCAAGAAGGAGCAACATTCCAGGAGGGAATTTTTCAATGCTAAGAAAAAAAAAACAGGTCAACAGGGGAAAATAGGTGACTAATTTCATATAACAAACAGAAAATCTTATGAAATTATTTTAATTTGCATGATTAAACCACTAAAATAGCTTAGGGATGTATGACAGGATACAAAATCGCCAAATAGGCAATCAATTATCCTTTTCCAAATAGCAATACAGCAGTCCCATCCACGGAAACCAGGGAGTCTGGCCTGGATTGGTAAGGCTACCCATCTGTCTAGAGAAATGCAGCCTCAGGCCATTTTTGATCTTCCTGCCACCCATTTGACATACCACCTCTTTGCCAGCTCCATGAAGAGCTTTCCAACTCAAAAGGCAGGCCATCCTCCTTTGAGCCTCTCACTTTTCAAGTCCAACAAAGACAAACAGCAGATATACATACACACTTCATATCAGAATTATTTTAAAGCAAAAAAAAGTCACAAGATGAAGAACATGCTACTTAACAATAAATGAAATCATTTTAACAGTCTGCTTCCGATGAGAAGTCCTCTAAATTCTGGAGAAAATGTCTATTAAAACTGCCTATAAAAATAATGGGTAAGACAATAAATACACCCTGCTATTAGACAAGTCTAGTAAATTGCAAATATCAAAAACAGTAAGAGAGGTAGCCTGGTATAGTGGATCATGGTAGACGTGGGATCAGGAAGTCATGGTTCAGTCATTTCAGTCATGTCCAATTCTTTGTGACCAGAGTGGTTTGCCATTTCCTTCTCTAGCTCACTTTACAGATGAGGAAACTAAGGCAAACAAGGTTAAGTGACTTGCCCAGGGTCACACATAGAGTAGTATCTGAGGTTGGATTCGGGTACCCCTGACTCCAGGGCTGGCACTCTATCTACTGGCCATTGATTTGGGTTCAAACCCTCCCTCCAACACTTACTAGTTGTGTGATGTCTCTCTGAGCCTCAGTTTCTTCATCTGTAATGGGGAATAATAATAGCACCTACCTCCCAAAGTTGTTCATAGGCTGAAAAGATAATCTATTTATAGTACTGTGCTGACTTGAAAATGCTATACAAATTTGAGCTATTATTTTTTCTTGAATTAAACCAAGTACTAGTCAGACTATCTAGATAACCCATTGAAAGAGAGCAGGCAAATCTCTCTCTGCACCCTAAGAAACTTTGCCTGAAATAGGTCATGGATCAGGAGGCAATAAATAAGTGTACAAGAACAGACACCTATGAATTAGCATTTTTGCTAACTCATAGTATAGTATCATTAACAATGGAAAAATGGAGAAGCCCAGCATAGCTAATACACACAGAACCTGAGAAAATCACTCCTGGAATAACTGCTTACACTGAAAGGAAATACAGGAGACAGTAAAAGCAATGAATGACATACCAGAGGTAAAGCTACCAATTAAGGGTGGCAGCCAAAGCAGAACTAAGGGAAGAAGCAATTTGTATGTTATTAAAATTTTTTTTAAAAAGCATACACCATCTAACCCAGGAAATGGAACCTGGAAAATTAATAACTACTTTAACACCCCACCCTTCCCCTAACCCCTTCCAGACCCAACCTCCACCAGATCCAACAGAATATGATAAGGATTAGAGCAGAAATCAAACAATTTAAACCCTCCAAAAAAGCAGTAGCCAAAAGAATGAAATATCTAAGCACTGGTCATTTGAGAGAAAAACTGAAACAAGTAGATGGGCCTTGGGCCAGACTATAAAAAATGAAAAGAGAGAACAGGGAAAAGCAATATTAGTAAAGAGACAAGATTATACCAGGAAGCAAATTAATTTAAAAAAATTAAAAAGCCTTGTTCAGATGTTTCAACAGTCTTAGTGCCGTTTTAAGCTGTTAAGGCTCAAAGTAACACTAAGACTTTTGGGGGAGTCTATACACATATGCACACATACGCACACACACAGAGCCTGTCTTGCTGTGTGTCTATATGTGTATGTATGTGTATGTGTATATATATATATATATATATATATATATATATATGTGTGTGTGTGTGGAAAAAGAGGGAGAGAGAGAGAAAAAGAGAAAGACTGAGACTCTGTGTGTGTGTATATCCCTTGAGGTAGAATATGAGAAAATTTAAAAATTCCCAGATGCCTGGAGTGCCAAACTAACAGGTCAGGCATAAAAGAATTCAGTGTCCCTACTACAGAAATTGAAGCAGTCACAGGAAAGAAGAGAGCCCTCTTCCCTCTCAAATGCTTTTGAAATCATGCCAACATTATATACCATTTTACAATATCCTAATGCAAGGGCACCAAAAGCCAATACTATTTCTGAAATGAGGGTACCACAGAGGCTAAAGTCAGGTCCTAAACATAAGGAAAATGACTTCCTTTTTAGAACTAAAAGGAACCCTGGAGGTAATGTAGCCCATACCCTCATTTTGTAGATGAGGGAACAGAAATGAAATGACTTTGTCCAACGCCACACAGGTTGCAAGTGGCAGGGCTTAGATTTGCACCCAGATCCTCTGATTCCAAATCCAGCTTTTTACTGCACATGAAATGCCACAAAGAAATATGGGAGCTAAAAATCTTTTTACAAGAAAAATAATAACCACTAACCATTAATAACCATATAAAAGATAATTATTTAATACTATAAATATGCTAAAAATGATGTAGAGGACAGCACAAAGTTTCCTTTAAAACCTTAGAAATCTATAGCATATAACATACAGGGAAACTCTTGGATTTCATTAAAATAATTCTGGAAAAATCAGAGGCACTATTGTCCCCCAAAGAAATAGCATAATGCCCATTTAAGGCAGTTCTTAAAAATGCTAAAACTTGTTGGCTTATACACACCAAGCAGTATAAAGGGAATGAATAAATGTATTGAATGATGTCTATTTTGATCTAAATAAATGTAGGCCAATAAATAACTTTCAGACAGGCAAAAGAAATGATTACATGACAGAATTCTCTTTTGACATTTCCAATAAAAATCCCACCTGATTCCTTTATAAAATTGAACAAATGAATAAAAGATTGTATTAGGCAAAACAAAAGAGTCAAAATGAAGAGAAAATCATTCATGGAAACAAAAGATAATGATGAATTGATTCCCAAATTTTAAGTCTCATATGAAGTCACCATTCTAGAGACATAGGGACCCGTGGAAATGGAGAACCCTATAATAAGTCAGTGACTAGTGATGATCATTAATAAAGATCATCTTAGGAAAAGAAAAACTAATCCATTAAGTAAATTGGCTTTACAAAGCTGAACAGCTGTTCAAAGGATATAGGAAAGTTTCAGCCAAATCATTTGGATTAACTAGATGTTCCAGGTACTTGAGGGTCAAGTCATATTAGACATCAACCTTTAAACATTTCAGCATTCTGAATGGCAATCTTTGTAAAATGAAGACACTCCTGTCTGCCTTCTTAAATGGAGCATGCTAAAGGACCCTGTCTCTGTACTGGGTTGTAGTACAGTGATGTCCCCAGGCCTACTGTGCTGTGTGGGGTTGACTGTCTCTACATTAAATGGCTCTACAGGACATTTGTGAGTATTTGCATCTGTTTTTCTGGGTTTTTCCCTCCCTGGCACTGGCACTTTTACTCTAACAGTCCCCACCTCCATTGTGATCTGCTGATGGCTGGAAAAACAGCTAATCAGGCTTCTCTGAAGTATGTGTAAATCACGACTATAAGACTACATGGGCTCTCAGTGAGTAGCTATGGGGTCATCCTATGAGAAGAGAAGAAAATGCGGGGATTTGGTGACAACTGGAAGCCTTTTTTTCCCTTTATCTGCTAGTTCTCAGCTCTGTTCCAAAAACATGAGGGTGACAGACAGCTAAGTGTCAAAGAAGAAAGGTGTTACTTTAACATTAACTTGCATACAGTATAATCAATAGCCACATTATCAGAATGGGTATGAGATATCCAGAATATGAAGACCACAGAAGCTCAAAACAAAAAAGGAGTAAGCACAAGGATGACAACTTCACCTTCATTATTTAAAAGTCACAAGTGGATAAAAATATTGCAACATGCAACAAATTATACAAGGTAATAGCAATTTTCAGACTATGCAAAATTATAAAACTCTGCTAGAAAGTGAAAAAGGTCTACACTGAATAATGTAAAACAGAAAGGACAGAATGCGGAGTAAATTAACACTGATTCCGATTGCGAATATTTGTTCAGTCACCTTAATCTCAAAAGAGGTTGTAAATTCAATATTGGTTTTTGTTGTTAAGCTGATGGAATGTATATAAAGTCTCTTCGAAAAGGAGAAAAATGATGAGGCGTCACTGGGAACAACCAACAAGCAGGATGATATGATTACAAACAATAATGGGGGGGGGAGTGGAGGTATTAACAACAATGAAGCAGAAAACTGATGCAAATAAAAAAAATTCAGAAGAAATTCACATCCAAAAGCTGGGCAAGGAATGAGCACTACTTTCACAACCAAAGACAGGGGCACAGTCTTGCTTTCCACTAACCTGTGCAGCTATAAGTAAAAGGAAAAATAGTAATTGCCGGAGACAATCAGGTCAAATTCTCAACTAGTGAAGAGCCTGGAAAGAAACAGAGATACAAAAGCAATGAGTAACAAGTGCACATAACCCTAAATAAGGTCCAGGCCAATGGGAGAACAAATATCAGAACAAGGGCCATTGGCAGTAAATGGATTGTTGGGGCACAATGGAGAAGACACTCAAATAGGGCTTTTGGTGGTGACGCCGACAAAGTTGTTGAGAGCGGGGGCCTGTATGAAAAACACGAAAAGTGACAATTCAGAGAAACAGTATGAAATAGAGCCAAGTTTCCAAAAGAGATGAAAATAAATCTCTGTCTGAAAGAGTTTCAAAAGCTGTTTAGGAGAAAAGACATTTTTGTAAACGTAAGGTGGATATGGCTCACTATTGCCTGGAAAAATGTCATCTGCAGAGTCGCGGGCTCCCAAACTCTCCACGGTGTTCCTCGAGGTGTGCCCCAAACTGAACAGCTCATTCCCTTGTAAGGACACATGACGACTTCAAAGCTCAGTGGGCCATTCCCCACAACAAAGAATGAATGATCCTGTGCTTGCTAGGGGCATAAAGGGTTTGAAAATCACTGCTAGCAAAGATTAAAGCTCTTTTTCTCTCTCTTTCAGAAAGAAACACTTGTTCAGTGAGTGGCTTTTCTCATAGATGCCAGGGGCTGCAGAAAATGAGGAGTAAGGGGCTTCAAATGTCACCTGCACCTCGGACCACTCATTCTGTGTCCTCTAAGTCAAAAGCATCATAATTATTTTGTTTTTGCAGACCTGTGATTTCATTACTTCCAGGAAGATATTCTCCTCAACTGCTGCTGATCAGCAACTGTTGTACAACTTATAATTTTAGACATGATTTGCTTGGGGGCAGTAATGGGTTCTGTGACTTGCCCATGGTCACAGAGCTAGTATGTGTTACAGACAGAACTTGAACCCAGGTCTTCCTGACTCCGAGGATAGTTCTCCATCCTTTATGGCAGGGGTTCTTAACTTGGAATCTACAGACCCCTTGCTAAATTTCAGGGAGTCACTGAACTCAGAAGGAAAAAAATCCTTATTTTCACTAACCTCTAACATAAATTTAGTATTTAAAAATATTCAGAGCCTGCCAGTGGGAGCCAAGACACCAAAGACATTCAATTCTATGTCAAACTTCCTCTCAATAATAATGACGATAGCTGATATTGACAAAGTATTTTACCAACCTTGAGACAGGGTGGAGTACTCTCCAACAGGCGTTGGAAAGGTAGCCTCCGAGTCACGGAAGTCTGAGGTCATGTCCTGTCTTTGCCACCCACTGGGCAGGTTGCCTCATGTGGCACACAGGAAGCACCTCTCCAGCCCCAGAAACATTGCAGAGGAAATCCAAGGGGCTACTTCCCTGGAGCTGGCCATACCCCAATGAAATCCCAAGTGTGGTACCTAGTCCTAGCCTACCTTACCTACATTAGCCCATATGACCCTTGCAGCATCCTAGGAGGTAGCTAACCTAAGCATCATGATCATCGTCCTACACATAAGGAAAGCCAGACTCCAAGAATAACTTTGCCCCCAGCAAAACTGGTGACCAGAATGTGGAAGGTTCAGGACTCAATTCCATGTTTCCTGACTATAAGTCAAATGTTGTTTAAAAGGAAAATACAATTTACATTCTGTACATCAGACTAGAGGTTGAATAAGTGGAGGATCTCTGGAGATTAGTAAGAAAGGTATTAAATTGTACCCGAGTGGGTTTTTTGCTTTGTAAACTTGCTGCATATAAAGATCGTTTTAAAAATAGGTGTTTGCAAAACTGTTAAAGTACACTATTTATGTCAGTCAGTCAATGAGTCAGTCAGCTAGCAGTTATTAAGTACCTATAATGTGCCCAGTACTGTGCTAAGCTTTTATAAGACAAAATAAAAAGTGTAAAAAGAATTCTAACCTTCCTCTGATTTTACCAAGACTGGTGACCATGGAGAAGTCATTTAACTTCTCTGGGCCTTAGTTTCCTCACCTGCAAAATGAAGGGGCTAAACTAGATGGCCCCTAAGATCCCTTCTAGCTCCAAATCTATGATTCTGTGATCCCAAATGAGGTACAACGAGTCACCTGGCAGCAGCAGGCACATCACCTAAGAGAAAATAGATTGATTCTTGAAAGTAATCCAAATATAAAATGACAAGAAAACATTATAACCCCACTCAGCCCTTCCCTTCACACCATCTCAAGTTATCCAGGGTTCACAAAAGACACGGCCTTCTTCTATGAGATCTGAGAGTAGAAGAAGGTGAACAGATGTGGGCCCAAGATCTCCCAAAGCACAAACATGGAGAGCAAGTGTCCTCAGCCTTGGACTGTTCAGATTCAAAGGAAGAGAGTCAAAACAGACAAGGAAGGAACAAAAGGAGGCTGAAGCCTGACAGTGGAGGCCCAGGCCTGAGGTGGAGCACTGGGTCCTGATCCTGGAGCTGCCAAAGCTTCGCTCGGCTTTGATGATGGATGAGAAGCAGCCAAAGGATGTGAAAGGAAGGGATGCCTTTGTTTTTGCTCCCATGGACTCGGTGCAATATGACCTATGGAGCAATCAGAGCATATGATAAAGTTTTTAAAAGAATTTAACCCAAAGTTTAAAGTTTGGAGAAGGGAGTGAAAATTATTAACAAACCAGTCTAAATATATTTTGGCTTGGAAAATGCCAGAAAGACAATGGTCCCTAACCTTTTCAAACATAAGGACCCCTTTATAAATGAAGTCCTCCATGTAACAGTAGTTGTGTTATCAGCATCCAGTGAGTGATCAAGGACACTAACATTGAAAGCTACTACAAAGTCAGAGGTGCTGTTAATAATGGCTTTGCATTTTATCCACCAAAGCAGCATTATTTAGGCCATCTAGAAAATGACAATGCTTTGGTGACCACAAGGATTTAAGGCCCCTCTCCATCACCATTCCTACCCCCCACCACATCACATCCCCAAAGTTGGGAACCATGGTTTTGGAAGATGTTACCAAGGAATTGGGATCAGGATTTAAGATTATATAGGACTTGAGGCATAACATCCATGGTTCTCTTAGTAGAGAAGTCTTGCCACTAGATCACACCTGGCCCTGTTTCTAGCTCATTTCTTCAACAATAGCCTCAATAGCTTATAATAAGGTCAATCTGCAACTGTTAGGAAAAAGTCAGCTATGGCCCAGGCTAGCACTCTTCCCTCTTTTATACTACCCAGAAAAAAATTTCAAGAGCAAGACTGAATTATTTTAAAAAATGTATTCGCTAATGATGTTTTAAGGAAAAGCTATTACCAGCAAATTGTTGACTGCTATTTAAATAAAGAACTCAGCTTTTAAAAGCAGTAGCATTTCTGCTGAGAGGAAATAAAATTTTTTTCTTCCTTTGAACTAATTAATTCCAAAATTTTAAATGGGGGAAGGTTTGGAGAAAATGAAAATGCAAGCATGCTCTTTCTTTTCCAGTCTTATAAGTAAAAAGGAAGACAAAGAATAAGTTAGCTGAATATCATAAAATTCCAATTCCCCACAATGATTTAGCCGAAAGCCTCCATTTAATGTTGGTTTACTACCAGATTAAAAAGTAAATTAAAATTAAAAATTCTGAAGTGACCCTGCTTATTTTTTTAAATATGCATTTTCATTATTGAAGAAAAAGAACTGTGTACAGGTCCTGCTTCTGCCACTAACTAGCTGCTTGACCTGGAATAAGACATCTAACTTCCCTGGGCCTCCGTTTCCTCATCTGTAAAATGAGGACAGTGATAACTACCTTACTGATCTCACATGGTTTCTTTGAGGAAATACCAAATCTGGATGCATAGCATGTTACAAACACACTTTACAATTCTGAGGGAATCAATTAGATAATATTAATCACTCTCAGCTGAGGAAGTGGGGGAAGGGATTGTCCCCTTAATATAAGATGGTAAAAAAAAAAAACCTGTCCTAATTATTCAGGCTGAATCAGAAATGGCTCATCTCCCACTAACTTCAAAAGGACCGTTTAATTACCTTCACCTAAGACAGCAGTTAAGTAATTTTTCATTTTCTCTGCTATAGCAAGTGATATGAAATAAAAAGTTTTGCCATGTGACTCCTAAAAATGAACAGCAGCATGTGTATGGAAGGGGAAGACAATACTGATAGTATCACATCTTCCTAATTTTTGAAAACTGGTTTGTAACAAAGCTTCCTTTCTGCTTTTTGTTTCTACACCATTCATTTCCTGCTTGGGCCCCCTGCATGGAACTCAAAGAAAACCCATTCAGGGGCTTCCACCTGGACTTAAAGTGATCTGATGCAAGTGCAAGCCATCCCACGGGAGACATTACAAGGCTCTGTCTAGTCAGGCACTATGAAAAGAACCAGAGTTGGCACTGAAATAGAACCTGAGAGATCACAAGGCTATGCCCCAACCTAAGAGACTCGGCCCTGTCCCATAAAGTGCTCAAAGGTCAAGAGTCAGAGAACCAGATCCCAGAGGCCCAGGATCCATTCTGGTGCATATCAGGCACCAAGATCCATGGCCCCCCATCAAAATAACTTCTAACCCTAAAATAAGAGAATAGGCATGGATTGATTCGACAAGAAACTGACCAATGAATGATCATTTACTGAGCACCTCCCCAGGTGACCGGCTTATAGTTAGAGCAAGGAGGTGTGCAGAAAGGGAAGGAGGACCTGCTCTCCTCCCTCCAGGTTCTTACAACCTGTTAACATAATAAATAGATAAAATGATTAGAAGACAATTACAAAGAAACATAAGCAAATGAGACCTGGGGGTAAATTTATGGCCTTGTTTCCCAAACAATGGAGATTCAGTGGAGGCCTTAACAGTGTACCTCAAATAGAAGAAAAATGTAAATTTAATTTCAGGTATGGAAGTTGAAGTACCCCCAGGGGTGTGCTGAGAAATGTTTAACAAGCTTTCCAGGGGGAAAATGTATATGCAACACAGGTTTAAATTTAATCTTCATTATTGACCCGTCCTCCATCACTTTCTTAAGCTCAAACAACAAAACAATACATCAAGCCCTGATTTGTAGCATTTGCCGATTTCTGAGGCAAAAATGCTCACACAGAAATTTAACAATTGACTCCCAGTCTGAGCTGGCTCCAGCATATCCTTGACCATAAAATGTTGGTCCTGTGATGGAAGAAAGTCAGCATGGCACATCAGAAAAGGCCCTGGGCCAGGGAACAGAAGGACATAAGTTCGAGTGACATCTCAGACCTTTACTAGCCACATGATTCTCAGCGAGTCACTTAACCTTTCTGAAATTGGAGATAAAACAACAAGCTTTCTCATAACAGTGTGGGAAGGAGAGAATTTTGTAAATCCTGACACAGGGGCAAAAATTTCAGGTGTCAATAAACAATCATTCATTTATTAAGCACTTACCCTGGGCTACGCCCTGGGGCTACCAGGGACTGAAGGGAAGCAGTCTCTGCAGTCTATTCTTTGCTCGATTCTATTGGGAGAGACAAGTACACAGATAAGAACACCACAACATCTAATACAAGGGAAGGGGTGAGGGCGGGGAGGGTGGTCACCAAAGCTTCCCAGAGGAGGTATTGCTTGAGCTGAATGTTGAAGGAGGCTGGAGATTCCAAGTGGCACAAACAGCCTGGTCCCCCAACCTGCCCTGAGGGCTATTCCACCTTCCAGAGCCATAACTGAAGAATCCTTGATTTTCTCTCAGAATTGCACACACATCTCGCCTCCCCGTGCACTTGGGTACAAACAGATTTGCACCTATCCATTACTCTGCTTCTTCCTAGTCACCTGTTCATCACCCATTTAGCAACCAGATAGGTACTAGCTGCAAACATACAGACAAGAGTCTCACATCTATGATATTAAGAAGTGAACATGCATACACAATGTGCAGGAGGAATGGAGGGTTTTTTTCTTTGTGACAATCTGATTGGATCGCAAATACAGACCTGGAAAGGGTCACCTCCTTTTAGAGATGAGTAACCCAAGACCCAAGGAGGTAAAGGCTTGTCCCAGGTGACCCAGGTAGCAAACGGTGGCCAAGCCAGGATTTTTTCCACCGTAGCACACTGACACCCTGCCTCTCCCCTCCCCCACGCCCCTCCAAGAAGCTTGGATCCAGGATCGGGGAGGGATGAATGGGGCTCAAGGAGGACAGGCAGAGGATGGGGAGATGGCATGAGTAGGCATTGGGTGGGCTGGGGAAGTCAGGGGCTGCGAAATAACGGCTCACATTTCCACGATGTCAAAAGGTTACAAAGCTCATGGAATCAGAGATATAGAGCCGGAAGGGGCTTTAGAGGCTCACTGGTTAACTCCCTCAATTTTACAGAAAAGGAAACAGAGGCCCAAAGAGCAGTTAAGCTATTTGCCCAAGGTCACAGAGGTAGTCACTGTTAGAGGCGGGATATGAACTCAAGTGCCGGACTCCCAAGTTGGGAGCGCTTCTCCCCCCCCACCCCTACGCTAATTGGACGTGTCCCCACAACAGCCGGGGGAGAAGGGGGTAAGGCAAGCTCATCCCATTTTGCAGATGTGGAAACTGAAGCAGGGAGAGGAGACTCTGGCGAATGGTACCCAAATTCCGCGCTCTCCCTGGTGCCCCGCCCCTCCTCCCCCGCAGCCCTCCGGAGCCCCAAGCTCCGACACCCTGCACTCACCGAGCCCAGAGCTAGTGCTGGCGTGGCAGGAAGTGCCCCCACTGGTCAGACAGCCGAGGAAGCCTGCAGCCCCTTGCTGAGAGCTTCCGGAACCCCTCTATGATGCCTCGGAGGTCTGCACATCTCGGTGGCTCAGCTCCCCACGCAACCTGGGGAGTGGGGAGTGGAGAAGAGAGGAGGAGAGGGGAGGAGAAAGGGGCCCGTGATGGGGAGGCCCCAGAGGAGGGGCGGGGCAGCCGGAGAGAGAGGACTGGGAAGGAGGATGGAGGGAGGGACTAGGAAGAGGGGATGCAGAGCCAAGAAAGCCAATTCACAGGGTGACCACAGCAATATGGAAAGACCTCAGAACTCTGATCAATGTGGTCACCAGTGACTTGCCTGCAGCCTTCCGACAGCGCGTCGTGCCTCCTCCTTTGGACAGAGGTGGGGGGCTACAGGTGCTGAATAAGGCATACATTGCCACACACGATTGAGTTGTTGCTTCATTTTACTCGACTGTACTGCCTTGTTACGTGGGAGAGTTCTAGGTATTTTAGTAGATCCCTGACCTCGCATTCAGGAAGCCCCAGTTCCAAATCCTTCCTCAAACCCTGGCCTGCGACCCTGGGCACCGGTCACAACCTCTTTTAGCCTCAGTTTTTTAATCTGTAAAGGATGGATAATTAAAACACCGACTTCACCATGCTGTTGTATGGTTCGAATGAGAGGAGGCATGTGAGGCATTTTGCAAAGCGCTATATACTCTTAGCTTATCCGTCATCCTAGAAGAGGCAGTTACATACAAATACAATCAACCAAGAAGCCTTTATTAAGAGAACAGCATCGCTAGACTCACTCCATGGAAGACACAGTCACAGGGGGAAAGCAGCAAGAAGCAGTGAAGCTGGGGTGGGGGGAGAGAGTAGGATGCAACCCAAGGACTAGCAAACATCTGTCCCGCCTATACCCTCGGGGGGCTCGATGCTAATGAGGGGTGGGCTCATGCTAATTAGGAAAGAGGGAGAAGCCGACTCCAGACTCCAGGTTTAGTGGGTTGGCAGGCTCCCCAGTCAGTGGCTGGCATAGTGCTGGTTGGTTTTCTGAGGATGCAAGAGTGGCCCACTGCAAGCAAACATCCCATTAGCTTTGGGGATGACATGTCATTCCATCATCTCAACCTCCAGGCCAGTAAAAGCCCAGACTGCCTAGACATGCCTCCCTCCCATCTTCTACTTGTCCAAGTTGCTTTGTTGCACTTATAGCGCTTTGCATTTGGCCTTATGAAATTTCATTTGGCAACTCTACCACTAGGAATTAGAGGACTTGTCAACCTGCTTTGCAGGAGGGAGTTTCCATGCTAGGATATCCTCAGGACTCTGAAATAATTAATACTAATAATAATAGCTAACATTTATTTGGTGCTTACTATGTGCCAGGCACTGTGCTAAGATTTTTTGATCCTCACCACAACCCTGGGAGGCAGATGCTATTATTTTACAGATGAGGAAATTGAGGCAAACAGGTTAAATGACTTGCCCAGGTTCAATCAATAAATATACATTTATTAAGTGTCTGAGACTGGATTTGAACTCAGGCCTCCCTGACTCTAGACCCAGCACTTTATTCACTGAACCTCACAGGTGGAAGAAAAATTTTTTAAAAATACCACAGCAATAATAAGACCAGAACGGGGGGGGGGGGCAGAAAAATTGACAAAATATTTGGCTCCAAATCCCCATCTGTTAACGCTGGGCTTACCAACTCTTTACGCCAGGTTACCTCCTGAAATCTTTGGAGTCAACTCGCTAAAATGAAAACATAAAGATTCCAGATTCCAAATAGGTCCACTGGCCCAACCAACCATAACCACCAGGCTACAGGGACCTAAGCTGGCACTTTACTGGCATGTGGAAGGTTCTCAAATGGGTCTGCTAGGTCCAATCCTGACTTCCTCCTTACTTAGGATTCTTGAGGGCAGAGATAGACCTTCTTGAGGCTTGGCCAGACAGTGGGAGCTCTGGGCCAAGGGAGTATGGAGAGGGGATGACTGGGTTGCCCTGACTGAAAGCAGTCCCACCCACCTCTTCCAAGGACCCAGGGAACCAAAGCTGCAAGGGAAGGATCTCAGGTGTCTTCCTCAGTTTCTCCTCATTCCAGCCTTAATCCCTCACAGTCTCTATCTTTCACCTATATGTAGGGGGAGCAGTGCTTAGCCCAGTGCCTGGCACAAAGTAAGTGCTTAATAAATGCTTGACTGGTTCATTTGCATGGCTCGCTGTGGACTGTTTTTAAATCTCGATTCTTTTACACTCATCACTTACTGCAGTTCTGACACAAATCCCCTATACAAACACCACCAGACTGGCTCTAGAGTGGAAATGTGAGTGCTTTCTGCCCTTCTGTGTCCCTTAGGCCAGCCTCCTCCCTGGGAACCACCATGTTAAATATATGATCATGAATCCAAAGGGAAGGGGTGGTTTGGGTCAGTCGAAGAGACAGAGAGGACATCTCCAAGCTTAGAGGGTTAACTTTAGAGACTCAGGAGTCACTGGCTGACAGTTGTGACTGGTTTTCTGCCTATCAACTGGGAAAGAGATGGGTTTCATGGCTAATATTCAGCATGTCGGGCTAAAAAAGCCACCACTCCTCCAAAAAACCTTGAATTCAAGACAAGAAGAATGAACCCTAACATCCCATTAGCTTTTGGAGACTCCATGTCATAGCATCCACTCATTCTCCAGTCAATTGAAAGTCCAGACTCTTTTCACATCTACTGCTCCCTAAATATGCTTCTCGACCATCTTATGTTTGTCAAGGGGCAGATTTCAAGAAACCTAGGAAGATTTGCATGAACTGATACAGAGGGAAATGAACAAAACCAGAACATAAAGGAAAACAACTGCAAAAGACTAAGAACTCAAGTCAATGCAATGAACAGTCATGCTTCCCGAAGGCTCAGGATGAAGCCTGCTTCCTACCTCTTGGGAGAGATGTGATGGCCTAGAGGTGCAGAATGAGACACATTTTCAGACAGCCAATGTGTGAATTTATTGTAACTGATTATACTCATTCCTAGTACTTCTCTCCACTATGAATTCTCCAGTGTTTTCTAAGACCTAACTTACTCCTGAAGGCTTCCTTTCATTCATAGGGTTTCTCTTCACTGTGAATTCTCTGATGTCTAAGAAAGCTGGCTTTCCTGTTGAAGGCCCTCCTATACTCATCACATTCAAAAGCTTTCTCTCCACTACTCAACGAGGACAAAACTCCACCTTAAGTTTCCCAAATTCATTACATTCACAGGACTTCTCACCTCGAAGAATTCTACCAATCCTTGAAGACTTTCCCACATTCCTTACATGCATAGAAATGTTCCCTTTTGTATACATTCTGATTTCTCATAATGCCACAATTCTGGACATATGTGGCACTTATCTCTGATAGGATCTGTCTGCTCTAGAACAATGTTTAGGATTCTTTCACACTCATGGTCATAGGCTCTCTCCTCTATGGAGCATTCCTGTAGGCAACAGTCAGATAGGTGAAACCTGTCTCTAGGGGAGAGGTGCAGAACCTGTGGCCTCAAGGCCACATGTGGCCCTCTAGGACCTCAAGTACAGCCCTTTGAATCCAAACTTCACAGAACAAATCCCCTTAATAAAAGGATCTGTGAAGTTTGTATCCAGTCAAAGGGCCACACTTGAGGACCTAGAAGGCCACATGTGGCCTTGAGGCTGCAGGTGCCCCACTCCTGCTAGAGAAATGGCATGGGTCAGTCTCCACTCTTGTGTGTTTTCCTGCTGTCTCCCTAAGCTACCCTCTCAGTCACAATCTTCTTCAGCATCAGGGCCCTAGAGAGGCTCCTTCCGATGTTCTGTTGATAGGATCTGATTTGATTGAACTTCTTCAAAAATTTCTTCCTTTGGAACTAATTTTTTGTTTTCAGTCTCAGGCTTATCATCTTAAATGATTAAGAGAGAAAGAATATTACTGCAACCTTTCCCCTGTGCGCCAAGAAAGGAATCTGCTCATCTGAAACAAAGGGTCAGGACCTTCAGATTGCCTATTAGATTTATGAAGATTTGACAGTTTTGTAGGTACACCTTCAAAGACAAAATGAGAGGATGGGAATAGGGCAAGGACGGGTGAAAAAAGAAGCAATGACTGGCAAAGAGGGATGGTGCCTAGCACAAAGAAGATAAGGTAAAGATTAGCTGGAAGTAAGCGTTTAGGGAGCATGGGAATTTCAGGCAGTAGGAATAGGAAGAAATGGGTCTAAACTTAGAAGAGGGGTGGGCTAGCTCTTCCCGGTTAGGGCCCATAGCACCTCCCACTTCACGAATCCACTGGACTCACTGTCACATGATACCTACCCCAATGACCTCTGTACATAGGTTATCTGGATTCCCCAAAGACAAATCCCACCCTCACCTCTTAAAAGCAAATCAATCTGTGGTTCATTTCATCTTTCTACAATGTTGACTAAGAACCTTGCAGATTCATTACATTTAAAAGGTATTTCTACAAATCAACCAATCACCCATTTCCTGAAGAAAACACTGGGAGTAAGCAGAGCTGGCATTTGATTTTACCATTGAAACATATGCTGCATACCAAGGTGCTCTGCAGGATTTAGATATATTTGGCGAGACAGGTAAGTTTGATAAGTAGCTTCTTTCTCAGGGGAATTACTAATCAAAGTATAACTGCAATATGAAGGATAGGTAGGGGAAGTGAAAAGAAGGCCATCTCAGTGCAGGAAATGTGAGGGAATAACCATGGTGACCAAGGGAAGAGAGAACTACAACAAGAAGAGGGAAAAAGGAAAATCTGTGTGTGTGTGTGTGTGTGTGTGTGTGTGTATCTTTCTGTCTCTGTCTCTCTCTTTCTGTCTCTCTCCCTGTCTTTGTCTGTGTCTCTCTGTGTCTCTGTCTCTCTGTGTCTATCCTTCTCTGTCTCTATCTCTCTATCTGTCTCTTTCTGTCTCTCTCTTTCTCTCTGTCTATCTCTGTGTGTCTCTCTTTTTCTGTCTCTCTCTCTCTGTGTCTATCTCTCTGTCTGTGTGTCTGTCTCTGTCTCTCTCTGTCTCTATGTCTCTGTGTCTCTCTGTGTCTCTGTCTCTGTCTCTCTCTGTATCTATCTCTCTGTCTGTATGTCTCTCTCTTTCTGTCTTTCTCTGTCTTTGTCTCTGTCTCTGTGTGTGTCTCTTTCTCTCTGCCACTGATCACCTGGACTGACCAACAGAGAAAGCCAGCCATGACCTTGCTCAGTAGATAAAAGAGTTACTCACTTGTGACTCCCCTCCATCCGCTCACCACCAAGAATTGCTCCCACCTCAGTCCTAGGCAGAGCTGATACCCACAGCACTTCTTGTTCCAGCTAAAAAATGAGGTCAGGCTTGGAAACTAGAAATCCTGCTCTGGGGAAAGAAAGTTACTAATGGCCCAGAGAACTCTGGACAAACACAGAGCTCACTCTCAGTTACAGCCCCAGGGTGTTCAGAGATGGAGGCAAAAACACAGTTTACCATAGAAAAGATCAGGTTATGTTAGGAAAAGGAAGTCAGTGAGCCTTGTGGAGGGGCCTCAACCAGCAGGAGCACACATTCTCAACAAGTCTATGATTTGAACAATGGAGGACAATTTGTTTCTTTGCTCCTGCAGCAAAGGATTCAGACCCTTTTTGTATCACAGGAACTGCTGGGAAGTCTAGGAAAACCCATGGACCCCTTCTCAAAAGTACACAGGATTAGAAAGGAAACCAATTATATTGAAATATAGCTATCCAAATGTTTTTTAAAAGGTCCCAGACCCCAGGTTAAAGACACTAGGAAACTCCTAGGGATCATGACATCTGTATGAGAAGGGCAAGAAATGACCTGCAATAAGAACTCAGAAGACTAGATAAAGTGCAGGTGGGGGGAGACACCAGGAAGCCACTTAATGCTCTCTTAGAATCCTTGCCAGCCGAGTGATGAAAGGAAACACAAATGTCTTATTTGGAGCTCAAAACCATCGAGGCTCCCTGATTCATGAGCCAAAACTTTGTAAGCTTAAAGAACAGCAATGATTTGAGGTAAACAAGAAAAAGATTTGATGCAGACAGCATAGGAAAAGGTTCCTGGCCAAAGGACGCAATTGGCAGACCAATGCTTTTCCCTCACCATTCAACAACCCAAGGTATGGACAGTCAGCCCATATTTTCAGCCCTCATCCATTCTGTTCTTCCTCCGAGGAAGATGTACCACTACCTTCACCTGTGCCTTTGGCCATACCTTTTCCGACTCCTACAAAAGCCAATAATTATTGTCCCTTTTCCAGAATCCCCAATTGCCCCTGACTCCTTACCATCTCTTTCCCTTCCACCTTCAAACCCAGACACATGTCCCCAAACCCTGCTGTCACCTCAAGCATCTTTCCTATTTCTCTCCTTTTTGCTGCCAACAACTCCCTGGTACCCAAACTGTCTTGGACCACCTGCGAGTGTCTCATGTGTCACTAGTTACTGCCAAGTCTAATGGCCTTTTTCTCTATCCTTATTCTTCAAGAGATCTTCTCCATCTGTTTCTGAGCCACTACAATATTCTGAATCCGCTGCCAGGCATTATGCTGGAAAGAATGGTGGCCAGGCTTCCAGCCCCAACTCTGCCCAGTTCTCATCAGCTCTTTTTAATTGGTTTACTAGTAAACTGCTTCATTCCTCTGAGCCTTAGGTTCCTCAGACAGAAGCTGGAAGCAATAGTACTGGTAAGACCTATTCTAAAGCAGCCTTCTTAAGCTGCGGGTCTTGAGTGCAAAAAGTTTAAGAAGGTCTGCTCTACAGTATGGTTGGGAGGAAATGGTTTGTAAATCATAAAGCATTGTATCAATGGGAAGCATTATCATTGTCCCACCGCTCTTTCTTCTGAATCCAAACTGAACTAACGCCAGCCAGCCCTTTCTATTGGGTTACACAAGAGAGAATCTAAGGCACAGTTTCTAAAGAACTTCCCATTTGACCTGCTTCTCATCTTCCTCCCAATCCCTAACTGGGCATCCCTTAAACTTGGACTTTTCCCCATTCTTCTCTCTTCATATACTGTCCCCCAGAGAACTCATAGCTTCCCATGATCCCATGCTGATTGTCTCCCTCAGTTGAGAGCCCCTCCTTTCTTCCCTGCCCCTGCCCCCACCAGCTGAAGAAGGACAAGTCCAACTGCCTTTGGACAACTCCAACTTTATTGCCTTCCCATCCAAACCCAATACCCCTTCAACACAACCACTGTCCCACTCATCCAAGTTTGAAAACAGTGCAGCATTCTTGATTTTTCCTTCTCTTTCATGCCCTGTACCCGGTCACCAAGTCCTACTGATTTTTCCTTCCAAATGCCCCTCATGTCCATCCTTCCTCCTCCAATCACATTACTACTCCTCTAGTCCAAGCCCTCATCACCTCCAGGTTTTCTCCCTTCTGATCCATAGTGCTGTTGCTTTACTTGCTCTAACTTCAGGGTTTCTAGAATAATGATAATATCAAGCATTTGTAAAGCATTTCAAAGTTTGTGAATGCATTCTATGTTAGCTCATTTACTCCCACTCACTCATACAGAAAGGATGTGAGCAGCTCTGCAGTGTTGGCCCACCACCCACACACTGAACTTCTCCCCGAAGACCACCACAATAGCCTGACCACAGGATGGCCCACAGGGATCAGGGGCTGTTGGCTCCTCCAAATAAACCAATTGAAACTAAACAATGGGGGACGGGGAAGGGAATAGGCATTTATAGAGCACACTGACATACATGCCAGCAACTGTGCTTTATAAATATTGTATCACTTGATCCTTACAACAACCCTGGGAGCTAAGCGAGACTATTGTCTCCATTTTATGGTTGAAGCAACTGAGGTAGATAGAGGTAAAGCGACTTGCCCAGGGACACACACCTAGTAAGTATCTTGAGGCCAGATTTGAACTCAGGTCTTCCTGATTCCTGGACAGGTGCTCTATCCACTGGACACCTAGCTGCCCTGAGGAGATTTCATTGTATTTCTTCCTGCTACTTGGCCATCTTGGCTCTGCCTTCCACATTTAAATATTTTTCAAGAGAATTGTAAAGTAACAATCACGTGAACAAATATTCCAAATCTCTGATGAGAGAAATGGTTGTATCCCAAGGAAATCAAAAACTAAAGGAAAGGTTTCATATATGTTGTTTATAGCAGGGTTTTTTGTGGCAGCAAAGAACTGGAAGCAAATTGGGTACCCATTGATTAGGATATTGCTGAACACCTCAAGGTATCTGAATGTAATACACTAATCTTGAGCTGTAATAAACAACAAATATGAAGAATTCAGAGAAATTTGGTAAGCTATGTAGGTACTGATGTAGAGGAAAGTAAGAAGGATCAGGAAAATAACTTGCACAATGAACATGATCATATAAAGGAAAACAACGAAAGACATCAGACCTTTGATCACTGCAATAAACAGTAAGGACATCAGAAGATTTGGGTGAAACATACTATCTTCCTCTTGGCAGAGAAGTGGTAGAAAATTGGTAGGGAATAAGACATGCATTCAGATGTGGCCAATGTGCTGATCAGTTCTGTTTAACTGTACTTTTATTCCAAAGGAGAGTTATTCAAAGGGGAGAGAAAATCCAGTGGGAAGTGATAATGACATAAAAGAGAGCAATTACAGAGATTAAAAAGTCACTGTTGCACTAAGAAAAGATCTAGATGGATCCAGAACCATCTTGTCCCCATATTTCAGATGCTGTGAAATAAGTGTCATCCAACATTGATCCAGGGCTACAGATTTCTTTTCTTTTCTATGCCAGAGTTGGGGGAGAGGGGAAGAGAAAGAAAGAGTGACCAGGTACTGATGGAAGATCACCAAACTGTAAACAGAATGGAATAGAGTCCTCTAAGCAAAAATTTGGAGTATTAGCAAGTAAACAGATCTCCAGATGTCCTCCCTCACCCTTGTTCCTTGGATTGTTTCCATGGCTACAGAGAGAGAGAGAGACAGAGACAGAGAGACAGACAGAGACAGAGACAGAGACAGAGGAAGACAGATGCTGAAACGAGTATTTCCCTCAAAATTACTCTCCATAGTTGTAATGTGCTAAGCAATAATACTAGCTAACAATTCTATAGTGCTTTGAGGTTTGCAAAGCATTTTACATAGATTATCTTATTTGATCTTCACAACAAATCAATTTTATAAAAGAGGAAAGGGAGGCAAAAAGGTTAAATGACTTGTCCAAGATCACACAGCCAGGAGACAAACGTGAGAGGCAGGATTCAAACTCAGGGCTTCCTGACTCCACACCTAGAGCTCTATCCCCTGTACCCCTAAGCTGCCAGAAATGAGCCCTCAACAAGCACATAATAATAGCTGCTACATTTATGCAGTGATTTGGGGATAACAAAGCACTATTCCTCAATGGGAAGCAGGAAATCCAATTATCTTCCCCATTTTTCAAGAGGAAAAGAAAGATCAGAGGTCGTGACTTGCCTATGGTCATAAAACTAATAAACAGAGACTGGACTTGAATCCAGATCTCTTGAATTTAAGTCCTGCTTGTACTAGGAAGTGTGGAGGACAGAGAAAAAGCTCTGAACCTGCCACTAAAATTGAACTAAGGGGCACAGGACTCAAGGGAATGAATAGCTAGCTAACAATAAAGGCACACGTCTGGTGTACAATAAGCCACCCACAGCGAATGCTGGCCTGCAGGCAGTCATCATCACTGGGCTCAGGCAAGCAGAGCAGGCACTCAATACTGCAGGGGTGGGGAACCTGTGGCCTTGAGGCCACATGTGGCCCTCTAGGCCCTTTAGGGCCACACTTGAGGACCTAGAAGGCCACATGTGGTTTCCCACCCTAGCAATATATGCTTATAAAACTGAATTCACTAAAGAAGCAGGTTTATAGCTAGGCCCTCGGTAAAAAAGGCCTGGGGAGCTGAATAACATTCCAAGGGAGGAAAAGAAGGTGAGTAACTATGAAGAGGAGAAAAGATTTTCACTAAGTTAAAAACAAAACAGAAGGGCATAGTTGAAGGAAGTAAGTGAACAAGGATATGGTCTAGTTGTTTAGAGAGGATTTGAGTAGAAAAGAAAGCAGGGCAGCTGTGTGCAAAGCATAAGGGGAAGAGTCACAAGCTACATTGGAAAGAGTTGTTGGAATTGGAGTCAGGTGGCTCAGGGACTTCCCAGCTGTGTGGCCTCGGGCAAGTTCCCAAGCCTATCTGGTGCCCAGTTTGCTTATTTATAAACTGAAGTTAGATTAGTTGCCCACTAAGGCTTCTTCCAGCTCTAAATGCGATTGCCTAGTGTGACCAAAAGGAATCAGAGATGGGGGGAGGGGGCAAGGGGGAAACAAATGGATGGGGAAAGGTTATGGGTTTGATGATGTCATGATAGGCACTGTGGCAGAGAAGGCCACAAGTCAGGCCCAGAAGTCAAGAATACACCAGATATGTTGCCATGGGCAAGGCATTTCAAATCTCAGTGAAAAGAGAACTCGTTCCGGTGTATTGCGCTGTGGGACAACATTTACAGAAGCTTTGTTGCCTTAAGAAAACAATAACTCAATTATGCAAATAAAGGGGGCAGCTGGGTGGCATAGTGGATAGAGTACCGGCCCTGAAGTCAGGGGACCTGAGTTCAAATACGACCCCAGACCAAACACCTGACACTTACTAGCTGCGTGACCCTGGGCAAGTCACTTAACCCCAATTGCCTAAAAAAAAAGAAAGAAAAAAAAGAAAACAATAACTCAAATTTCTTTAAGGTTTACAAAGTGCTTTCCACACAAAAACATTCTTTAAGGTTGTCCTAAGTATTGTTAGTCCTTCTACAGATGAGGAAACTGAGAGTCCTTCTACAGATGAGGAAACTGAGGTTCATAGAGGTCAGATGCAGTTAGCAAAGATTGGAGCTTAAATATAAACCTACATATTCTGTCTCCGAGAGTACCAACAACTCTTACTACAAATGCCACACATCACTTTCTCTAGCATTTGCTCATGGACAGCTGACCAGCCACTCAATCTTTCTTTTTGTCTCTTTTCTTTCAATTTTTCCCAATTGTCTTTCTACTTTTCCCTCCCACTCTTTTTTCAGTTATGCACGTGCCTTTCTCTGGTATTACCAGCGCCTCTCAAATTACCCGGCAAGCACAGAACCATCTCCACAGGAAGCAAGCATACACAGATCACCTTTCCCCACGGCTCAGAGAAGAATTAAAGGTAAGTCAACAAATGGAGAGCACTGCCAAGCACAATCAATTAGAGAAAAGGTTACTTAGGATCAAGCACCCTGACAACTCCTCCTTTTACAGAACCTAGTACAATAAAGGGCTGGAGCAGAATCTATTATGCTTCAACTGAAGTAGGAAAAAAAAAAAGCAGGGACTGCAATCATGATCTCAGACAAAGCAGAAGCGAAAATAGACCTAATTAAAAGAGATAAGCAGAGAAACTACATTTGCTAAAAGGTACCATAGACAATGAATATCAATACTAAACATATATGCAAGAAATGACATAGCATCTAAATTCTTTTTTTTCCATTAATAGTATTTTATTTTTTTCCAATTACATGTAAAGATAGTTTTCAACATTCATTTTTATAAGATTTTGAGTTCTAAATTTTTCTCCCTCCCTAAGACAGCAAGCAATCTGACATAGGTTATACATGTACAATCATGTTAAACGTATTTCTGTATTAGTCATGTTGTGAAAGAAGAATCAGAACAAAAGGGAAAACCCTGAGAAAGAAAAAAACAGAAACCAAAAAAAAAGTGAAAATAGTCTGCTTCGATCTGCAATCAGACTCCATAGTTCTTTCTCTGAATGTGGATAGCATTTTCCATCATGAGTCTTTTAGAATTGTCTTAGATCATTGTATTGCTGAGAAGAGCTAAGTCTATCAGAGTTGATCATCACACAATGTTGCTGTCACTATATACAATGTGTACAGGAGAACCTGGTTCTACTCACTTCACTCAGCATGTCTTTCCAGGTTTTTCTGAAACCCGCATGCACATCATTTTTTATAGCACAAGAGTATTCCATTACATTCATATACCATAAGTTGCTCATCCATTCCCCAATTGATGGGCATCCCCTTAATTTCCAATTTTTTGCCACCACAAAAAGAGCTGCCATAAATATTTTTTGTACATGTAGGTCCTTTTCCCTTTTTTATGACCTCTTTGGGATACAGACCTAGTAGTGGTATTGTTGAATCAAAAAAGGGTATGCACAGTTTTTTAGCCCTTTGGGCATAGTTCCAAAGTTGCTCTCCAGAATGGTATTCCAATTTTCCTATATCTTCTCCAACATTTATCATTTTCCCTTTCTATTAGCCAATCTGATAGGTATGAGATGGTATCTCAGAGTTATTTTGATTTGCATGTCTCTAATCAATAGTGATTTAGAGCATTTTTTTCATATGACTATAGATAGCTTCAATTTCTTCACTGAAAACTGCTTGTTCATATCCTCTGACCATTTATCAATTGGGTAATTCTTATAAATTTGACTCAGTTCTCTATATATTTAAGAAATGAGGCTTTTATCAGAAATACTGGCTGTTAAAAATTGTTTCCCAGCTTTCTGCTTTCCTTCTTATCTTGGTTGCAAGTATCCAAACTCTTAAGGAAAAAGTTAAATGAGTTACAAAAGGAAACAGACAGTAAAACTATCCTAGTGGGGGACCTCAACTTTCCCCTCTCAAAACCAGATAAATTCAACCATAAAATAAACACAAAAGAAGTTAAGGAGATGAAAAGAATTTTAGAAAAGTTAGATACGATAATCCTCTGGAGGAAACTGAATAGGAATAGAAAAGTATCTCAGCTTTACATGGTACCTTCACAAAAACTGACCACATATAGGGCATAAAAACTTCACAACCAAATGCAGAAAAACAGAAATATTAAATGCATCCTATTCAGACCATAATGCAGTAAAAATTATATTCAACAAAGGGTGGTGGAAAGAAAGATTAAAAATTAACTGGAAATTAAATAATCTAATCCTAAAGAATTAGTGGGTAAAAGAACAAATCATAGAAATAATAAATAATTTTATTAAAGACGATGACAACAATGAGAAAACACACCAAAATTTATGAGATGCAGCCAAAGCAATACTTAGGGGAAAATGTAGATCTCTGAATGCTTACATCAATAAAATGGAGAAAGAACAGATTAATGAATTGGGTGTGCAACTACAAAAAAACTAGAAAAAGAACAAATTTAAAATCCCCAATTAAGCACTAAATTGGAAATCCTAAAAATTAGAGGAGAGATTAATAAAACTAAAAATAAGAAAACCATTGAACTAATAAATAAAAGTAGAAACTGGTTTTATGAGAAAACCAACAAATTAGATAAACCACTGGTTAATTTGATTTAAAAAAAAAAGAAGAAAACCAAATTACCAGCATCAAAAATGAAAATAGTGAATTCATCACCAATGAAGAGAAAATTAAACAAATTATTAGGAGCAACTTTTATCAATTATATGCTAATAAATCTGATAAGTAAAATGGATGAATATTTAAAATATATAAATTGCTCAGATTAATAGAAGAGGAAATAGAATAATTAAATAACCCTATCTGAGAAAAAGAAATTGAACAAGCCATAAATGAGTTCCCTAAGAAAAAATGTCCAGGCCCAGATGGATTCACAAGTGAATTCTACCAAACATCCAAACATTTAAAGAACAATTAATTCCATTACTATATAAACTATTTTGAAAAAGAGACAAATATTTCTACATATTAACAAAGTCCATCAGAGACAGAGAAATTCCACTTAAAATAACTGCAGACAATACAAAATACTTAAGAATCTCCCTGCTAAGACAAACCCAGAAACTATATGAACACAATTATAAAACACTTTTCACACAAATAAAGTCAGATCTAAACAACTAGAGAAATATTAATTGCTCATCGGTAGGCCACATCAACATAAAATGACAATTCTACCTAAATTAATTTACTTATTCAGTACAATACCAATCATATTACCAAAAAATTATTTTATAGAACTAGAAAAAAATAACAAAATTCATCTGGAAGAACAAAAGGTCAAAAATTTCAAGGGAATAAATGGAAAAAAAATGTGAAGGAAAGTGGCCTAGCAGTACTAGATCTCAAAAACTTTATTAAAAAGAGGTAATTATCAAAACAATCTAGTACTTGCTAAGAAATAGAATGGTAGATCAGTGGAATAGATTAGGTATACAATATGTAGTTGTAAATGACCACAGTAGGGGCAGCTAGGTGGCGCAGTGGATAGAGCACCAGCCGTGAAGTCAGGAGGACCTGAGTTCAAATCCAGCCTCAGGCCAAACACTTGACACACACTAGCTGTGTGACCCTGGGCAAGTCACTTAACCCCAATTGCCTTAAGAAACCAAACAAAACAAAAGTAAATGACCACAGTAATTTAGTATTTGACAAACCCCAAAATCCAAGATTTGGAGGCAAGAAAGCATTGTTTTACAAAGATTTCTAGGAAAACTGGAAAGCAGTTTGGCAGAAATTAGGTATAGATATCATCTCACACTGTGTACAGAGATAAGGTAAAATGGGCACATCATTTCGATGTAAAGCATGATATCATGAGTAAATCAGAGAAGCATGGAATAGTTTATTTGTCACATCTATAGATAAGGAAATAATTTATGACCAAACAAGAAATAGAGAACATTATGGGGTGTAAAATGGATAATTTTGATTACATTAAATAAAAAAGGTTTTGTACAAATAAAACCAATGAAGCCAAGATTAGAAGGGAAGCAGGAAATTGAGAGGGAGAGGAAATTTTACAGCAAGTTTCTATGATAAAGGCCTCATTTCTCAAATATATAGAGAACTGAATCAAATTCAGAAGAATACAAGTCATTTTCCAATTGATAAATGGTCAAAGAATATGACCAGGCAATTTTCAGATGAAAAAATCAAAGCTATCTATAATTACATGAAAAAATGCTCTAAATCACTATTGATTAGAGAAATGCGAATTAAAACAACTCTAAGGTACCTCACACCTATCAGACTGGCTAATATGACAGAAAAGGAAAACAACAAAAGTTGGAGGGGATGTGGGAAAATTGGCACACTAATGCACTGTTGGCGGAGTTGTGAATTGATTCAACTATTCTGGGGAGCAATTTAGAACTAAACCCAAAAGGCTATAAAACCATGCATATTCGTTGGCCCAGAAATACCACCACTAGGTCTGTACCCCAAAGATATCAAAGAAAAAGGAAAAGGACCTATATGTACAAAAATATTTATAGCAGCTCTTTTTGTAGTGGCAAAGAATTGGAAATTCTTTAATGTCCATCCATTGGGGAATGGCTGAACAAATTATAGTATATGACTGGGATGGAATACTATTATACTATAAGAAATGACAAGCAGGTTGCTCTCAGAAAAACCTGGGAAGACTTACATGAACTTATGTATAGTGATGTGAACAAAGCCAGAAGAACACTGTATACAGTGACAGCAACCCAGTATGATGATCAACTGTGAATGACTTCAGCTGTTTCAGTTGTGTCAGCCTCTTCGTGACCCCACTTGGGGTTTTTTAGGCAGAGATACTAGAGTGGTTTGCCATTTTCTTCTCCAACTCATTTTATAGATGAAGAACTAAAGCAAATGGCGTTAAGTGACTTGCCCATGGTCACACAGCTACTAAGTGTCTAAGGCTCATGAAGAAGAGTCTTTCTGATTCTAGGCCCAGCACTCAATCCACTGTGCTACCTAGCTACCCTATTCATCTTCTTTTGCAACATGGCTAACATGGAAATGTTTTGCATGCTTGCCTTCTCAAGGAGTAGGAAGGAGAAGGAGGGAGGAAGATAATTTGGAAATCAAAATTTTAAAATACAAATGTTAAAAAATTTTGTTTACATGTAATTGAGAAAAAAACAAAATTAAATGTAAATGTAAAAAAAGGATCCAGTTCAAGTGTCTTGCTGAAAGTAAAAACCAGAACACCAAAATGCAAAATTCACAAATCTAAAAATTCCAGGAAAGTATTCATGTGATGATTCTTGCTAATACAAAAGAGTCCAATTAATGCACTTGAAAATCCTATTTGGTTCAAAAAAACATTTTTAAATTGCAGGTCTTTGTCTATCCCTGTGTCCCCAAATGTGTTTGTTTGATTAATATTTAATCAATAATTAATAATTAATGTTGGGTTGGTAAGACGGTT